CACAAACTTGATATTAATATAAGAAACTAAGTCTTCTAATGGAGAAAAATAATGTGGCTGTCAAATATTTCTTGCTACTTCAAGAGGCAAAAAAAAAAAAAAAAAAAAAAAAAAAAAAATGTACCATCTGAGGAAGATCAGAGATAAAGGTGGCCTTATAAAAAGCTAATAGCTCAAAAATGAAGAACAATTTAAAACATAAGGCTCACCTCAACATCACATTTCATCTCCTTGGGACAAGGTTTCACCATATAAAATCTCTGCAATGCAAAAGCAGCAATATTAGCAACCAAAATAGTTTCCTACAGAATTTAATCCTGAGTATATTTAGAAACAACATTGTTTACAAGAGTAAGTGACACTATATATCAATGAAAATTAAATCACATTTGGATTTCTGCCAACGTCTTAAATTCCTAAATTTGTTTTTGGGGTAAGGCAAGTGAGGACTCCTGCTTCTTAAAATCATATATACTGAGGAAAGTGTGAAGAGACTACAATCCAAGATAAATAAAAAATAATATATAACCAGAGAAAGAGTATGCAAAAGAGCAAAAGAAGATAGAAGGCTAAGAAAATACCACATGACAAACACACTCAAGTGTTCAGTCTGTTCACACTGAAGCCCTATTACAAAAAGTAAAATATAAAGTATAACGAAACAAAAATTTCCAATTTCTAATACTCCCTCTATTCTTCAGTTACGCTAGATATGCAATTTTAAAAATATTGAAAAAATGGTGATCGGGTGTAAATTTAGTAAGAGAGAGAATGGAAAAAGAAAAGATGAGTGGATGTTGGAAAAAGTGAATAAAGTAAAAGGGGTATATACCTAAAATAGAATAACGCAAAGGGGGGGAAAAAAAGAACCAGCTACTGGAAAATGAGTAGAACAATAAAAGAACGCAGGGAGTATTTGGGTTCAAAAATGAATGAAAAACATCCATACCAGAACAGCATGCCAATTAAATTTTGTGAAAAAAAACTCAAGGTTGAAATAACAGTTCAAGCAAGTAACAAAGAAGAAGTGAGGAATAGTTATGATTAGGCATGGCAAATGATCTCCTCCATGTAGGCATGTATAAGGGAGGCATACCTGGCGAAAGGGTTTCTGAGGAGTTCTCCAGAATGCCTGGCAACAGAAAATCATACCAGTTAACAAAAGATTTCCATGGATTAAAAAGCCAAACAATACACTGTATCTTAACTACCTGCTCGAAGTACAGAACTTTTGAGCCATCCACCATATCTGCAGCTGGACAGGCAATCATTCTGCAAAACATTATCCTCCAGATTACTTAATCGGCATATGAAATGTTCTAGACAAATGACTCTTCTTAAACACCCTCAAACACTCAGACGAGGTAAGCAAAATTTAAACAATTCTACCACAGTGATTTGAACAAAAAAAAAAAGCCATGCTTTAAATATAGAAAAGCATTTGGATATATACATTGTAACATCTAATTAGTGGAGCTGATGGTCGGGGTTTTCAGGACTTGGTGGCAGAGAGAAGAAGAAGGACATAATTATTCCTCAAAGGACATGAAACCTATGATTCCCATTTTGAAGTGATTTATCATCCTTTCATCCTATTGCACTCACATGACAGTATTGTATAAAACTTTTTCCACAACAGTTAACATCCCCTAACCGAGTCCCCTCCTTCCACGACTAAAATGCAAACAAGAAACCTCAATAGTAATTCCATGATCAATCAAAAACATACTCTGTCCCAATAGTTGTCGCATTGCTAGTTCAAATCACACCACCATCAAGACTACTAATTCTATACAAAGGGAGTATGTTTTTGATTGATCATGGCACTGACTAATTATGTTACAACTAAATCTAAATACCTCAATCCAAACCCCAAAAGATGATTACCAACTCGAATACATTCTATAAAGACCCAAAATTCTAATTAACCACAAAAATTTCAATAATCAAACTTAAAAAAAATAACAACAAAAATCCTCGAATTTTCAACATTTCCTAGAACATTTGATGAAAGAAAACACAGAAACATAACAATACCTCAAATTGAAAAAAATGATCAGGGTCTCTCGCAGCTTGTTCCCTTGAATTCTACACAAACCCAACAAACAAATACCCACAAATTCAACTTCAACAATCAAAAATTCCCAAAATCAAATATTAATAAAATTAAAAAAAAAAAAGGAGAGAGAAAAAACCTTTTCACCGGAGAGAGAATGGGAGACGAAACGAGCATGGTCACGGCGGGTGGTGGATTTAGTAAGACGGCGAACGAACAGCGCACCGCCAACCACAATTAGAGTTTTAATCACCCAACCACTAGCTTTGCTCCACCCTCCATTTGTTGGTTCTGTATCTCCTTCACCCATTTCTTTGCTGTAATTATTCTATGATTCTGGCATGATTCTGGGATTATTAGCAAAATTTCAAGCTTATATTTTCTGGGTTTTCTGGGAATTTCAATTCAAGATGATTATGCACAAAGATTGTTACTTCTATTGGTAAAAGAGAAGGAATTTGAGAGTGGAAAAGAGGGTTGAGTGTGAATTTGGAGGATATTCAGTGGTTCAAATTTTCATACATATCGACGGGAAAAATGACTAATTGTATGACGGAAGATGTGGATGTCGACGCCTATAATTATCACACTGCGATTTCACCTAAATCATTGATTTTAATCCACTTAAAATGTTGAGGGAAAAACAATTACGGAGCAATAATCCGTACTTCGTATGAGTTTGTATTTGTGTTGAGTCCGTGTGCCACTGTGCCTTGCATTGCACTTGGTGTAGCTCGGTTTATGCCTAACCATACAAACTACCCGTATGGTGTTAAAATTTCTAAACATCGGTATAGTGTATAGCGTATAGTAGTGCAGTCAAATTTCAAATCGAAACCGTTTAACTGCCCGAAACAAACCGACCCAAATGAGAATCGAACCGATTAAAAACCGTTTTTTTGAAACCGAAAACCGACCCGAACCATATGTGAATGAACCCGAAACCAAATCGATCCGAATAACGTTACACCGTATAAGAACTGAATCCGTTAATGAACCAAACAAATTCTAAACTGAACTGAAATCAAACCAACCGAACTGTTTCTAACGAGAAACCGCTTTCAACCCGAAACCGTTTGAACCGGGATAAAAAAAAACGTTTACATCGAACCGTTAACAACCCGCGACCCGTTTGCACCAAACTGTATATAAACCGAACCGTTTATAAACCGAACCGCTTACAAACCGAATTGTTTATGAACCGGACCACTTATAAACAAATCGGCTACAAACTGCTTATTATAAAGAGAATATTAAAATCAAGTTGAAAGATGTTTTAAATGAAATTTAATTATCATAGTACAAAAATTCTTCTAACCAAATTAATATTTATTGAAAATTTATTTTCATAGTATAAAATATTTTCCTGTCAAATTATTATCATAGTACGGAGTACAAAATATCTTCCTGCCACTAAAAAACCTTCTGCCATAAACTGAACCGAAAAAGAACCGAACTAGTTATAAATTGAACTGAAAAAGAACCGAACCAATTATAAACCGAACTGAAAAAGAACTGTACTAGTTATAAACTGAACCGAAAAATAACCGAACTGTTTCTAACCCGAAATCGTTTCCAACCCGAAATTGTTTGAACAGGGATAAAAACCGTTTACACCGAACCGTTAACAAACTGCAACCCGTCTGCACCCCCCGCTTACTACTCGGACTGTTTACAACCCGAACCGAATTAAAACCGCTCAAGAATAAACCGGAACTGAATCGAACCGATAACTATTTAAACCGAACTAGAGCCGACCCGTGAGACACTTAAACCGATTTCAAACCGACCCGATTTAATACCGAACCGAACCCGAACTATCAAACCGTTTTGACAGTGCTAACGTATAGGAACGAGCAAATTCAAGTTTATCAGAATAAGAAACGTAAGTTGTTTATCAAGGGGCAAAGTTTTACTTTCAATTTTCATCTGAAAAAGTAAGGGCAATAGTGTCATTAGAGCTGAACGTTGTTAGGTGACGACGTTAGGTAAAATTTGTCAAATATTTACCTCCTCTTTTTTATTTCTCTCTCCTCTTCTCGTCCTCTAATTTCTCTCTCTTCTTTACTTCATACGAGTTGAGTTACCATCCACCATAGAAGACAATTGGAGGTAGGGCCACAACTACTTGAAAACTCAAACCATTGGAGTGGTGTAATTTCTAAAGAACTCGAACCTTTCCACTAAGGGTTAACCATACCATTGTTTTCACCCTTTTCAATAGGATTTTCGTTTAGATCGGCAACAAAGCCGACGATATGTGATGGTAACCGGGGCTTCTTTGCCATTTGATTAACAAAAAACGAGGCAACTTATTTACTTCTTTGCCATTTGATTAACTAAAAACGTTTATCATTTTTAGTAACCGGGGCTTCCTCTATAGTAACTAAGCCTATGTGTTCACTAAGTTGGAATGTTTGTGTGAATAACATTTTCTTTATTTCATAGAGTTGATTCGCTATTTCTCTTGGGATTCGAATCACTACCAATATAAAAAGATTTGATTTTATAAACAAGACGTCATTGAAATTTACACAGAAATTGAGCAGCAACCTTACCACTGAAGAGCTGCAACTATGAAATTAAGCTAGTGGTAATTCAAGCAACCCAAGAAACGACCAAGAATGCAGCCAGTATGAATAGATGGGGCAGCGCGTACATAGGGATGGGCAGCATGCTAGCACTCAACTCTTATGGCTATGGGCAGCATGCTAGCACTCAACTCTTATGGCTAAAGATGAGCGTATTCGCAACTCCATCCAAACATTGCAGTGGCACACAAGTCAATGAAAACACCGTGTGTTTTTGGAAAGAACAAAAAAGTTCATCTCTGTTACCCTAGATGATGCAACTTCCGATAGCCACCATAACAGGGGAGCAAAACTGAAATGGATTTAAAACAGAACATGGTTGGGACCAAAATTATTTAAATGATTAGATTTTCTTTTCATTTACTTATTTATTTATTTGAAGAGAAACTTTTACATACAAGCGTGCAACTAAGTTTCATATAACTGGAATATCAGTATACCCCCAGCATAGCAACTATAAAGATATGTAAAATACATTACAAATACTAATTATATTACCATGTTCATCTACCAGGTAAATAAACATCTGAAGTTCATCCTTATTTTCCTGTGTGGTGGAATATTCAAAGCAATTTAACAATTTCATCGACTAGAACTACTGATTTCCGGAGACAGGAGTGTCTTTGCCTCTCTTAATGTCATCCCATCCTCTAACCCATGGCTTCCCTGGTGCTGCTCGTGTCTCAGGAGCAGCATGGCTGTTTAGATTGCTAGAAACCTTCTCGCGAATAGCAGTAAATACCTACAAATATAAATTGTTTTTAATCAAATTCCAATTTTATTTTACAAAGTATGGAAGATATCAATGATTTCTTCTCAGTCAGAATCTCACAGGATTCACACTGACTGACTCAGGTGGTTGATCTTGCCCACTCAGCCAGTTCCACAAATCTGGGTTTTCCTGTAGACATGAACATAAAAAATGAGTTCATCCAAGTACAAGCACAGTATAGTCCAGTATCCAGATTTTCCCACCAAGTAGAAAAGCACTCAGAATTCTTGATTCCAATTTTACCATAGAAGCATAATTGAAATACATATGAATGTCTCTTAGCCAAACAACAATTGATAATAGCTTCTTAGATAACAAGATACAAGCATATTCACAAAGGAGGTCAAATTCTGAATATAAAGGGACTTTAAAGATTCCTTCAGTGGTTCAAAGTAAGTTATCAAATTAGAAAATAAAATTTTTTTTTACAAAAAAACATTTTGATCACAAAATGAAAGGTATAGGTCTTTTTTGTACAAAAATGAATTAGTTCATAAATGTTGAATCAGATGAGACCTCTGGTCATGACTCATGAGTACTAAAAGTGTAAATTTTATGCGTAGCAGTTTTTTTTTCCCTATTTTTGTTATGGGAAGCAATACAATGTAAAAACTCTATACATCAGGCAGACTATCCTATGACACCCTCATATGTCCTGCACCAACACCAAAAAAATTCACAAGAAGAGTATCATCCCATTTCACTATTTCCAACTAAAATCCACTTTTCGGAAGGAACCTGAGAGGACACTATAATCATCTACACATACCTCTAAATCTCACTCCATAAGCTACCTTAAAGAGCTTAAACAGTTGTTGACGATCATCTAGTGAAACCTCTAACACAAGTCCATTCATAATAAGGCATTTGCATCTCTAATTTCCCTTGAAAAATCTAAAATCGTCATAATTCTCTCCTGTCATATATAGTAGACCCCTGAAACAATAAATACTCAAAGTAGGCTTGACATATGTATCCATTTAATAATTTATCTTATTGATTACACTAAGGCCATATTTGCTTGATTATAACTGCACTGTCTTCCAAGCTCAAGACAACATCAGTCTCTCCAACCAAAAGTCAAAGGCCATAGAATTTGTCACGTTCCCAATTTCAGCCAATAAATTTCATACAAACAATTTACCACAATCCAATAGAATTAAAACCACACACAAAGATCCTCTTTTCTAATCTTGACTGAAAGAGGTAAAGGGTACATACTGCTTCACACCTAAAAAAGAGCAGACTACTATAGGTAGTAGTAGGTAGCAGATAGTAAAGATGAAGTTCATACACAACCCCCCAAGCAAGTAGCTAAAAAACTTACATCACTACTTAAAGCATTTAGACTTCCTAATAAGTCGTTTCCTATATTTTAAACTCGCAAACTTCCCCACTAAATCTGAACAATCCAAGCAACATTGTGCAATCCCTCCTCTCCCCTTTTAAAAGCTCATCTAGCCAAGCATTTGACATGGAACTGTGTAACCTAAATCACTACCCCCTGTTCCCTATGATCTCAAATTAATAAGGGCCACAAAGGTGAATTCTCAAACACTTGCGTGTATAGTTGAATACTGCCAGCTACCTCTATCAGTACAAGAATAGAGTACATGTATACTACCAGCTTTCTCTATCAGTACAAGGATAGAGTACATGTATACTGCCAGCTTTATCTATCCATGTGATGTGTGCAAGTCTCTTCCACAAGGCTATACTTCATAAGGAAACAGAATAAAATTCAATCCCAATGGCTCCTCTCCTCCCAAGGGCACTCAATTGAGGTGCAAATTGGTAAAATCAATGTATGGCCTTAAACAAGCTCCCAGATAATGGTTTGCTTAACTTTCAACAACTCTAAACTCTCTTATCATTTGGTTCTAAACAATCAAAGGCTGGATAGTTTGTTCACTAAGACAAGCAACACCTCTATACTCTTTCTCTACAATGTTGGTATATGTGGATGATCTTCTAATTACTGGCAACAATCATCGAGATATTAACATGTAATTATGTCTTCCCATTTTCATTGAAGGACTTATGTCCTCTTTAATCAAGAAGATTTTCCCAGAGAAAGTATGTCACTGATTTCTTGAAAGAACAAGGACTGCTGGATGTTAAACTCTGAAATTGCTTGTAGATTCTCATTTGAAATTCTCACCAAACAAAGGAAGTCCTTGACTAATCCATTCATCTATCAACAATTCCTTGGAAAAGTGGTACAACTCACTGTTACTAGGTCTGAGATAGCCTTCACGATGCAACTTCTAAGCTGAACTACATCTCAATCCTCAACACACATGTTAGATATCTTGCTAGAACTACAAGGTCTACAACTCAAGGCATTTTATTTGCTTCATCTTCTGGATTGAGGTATAAACATGTTGAGATAGATTGCCATTATGTGAGAGATATGGTAAAGGCAGGCAGTCTTCTCACTCAACATGTTTTGTCTTAGGATCAGTTAGCTAATATCCTCACTAAAATCTGCAGTAAAACAGCATAATGATATTCTGCTTAAGCTGGGTGTCATTTCTCAATCCCACACTCGGCTTTAAAAAGGGTTATAAGGGTTACAAGGTCATTTCCCAAGCACTTGAATATATACTGCTAGCTTTCTGTATATGTACAAGAGCAGCTCATATGCAAAGACATTGTAGTGGATTCTGTACGCTATTATTTTGGTTTCAGCATAATAACGAGGTTGTTTGTTATGAGCACATTTACATTGTGCATGGCTCATTGTTGGTAATGAGAAATGATCAGAAATTCCCTTGGTAACATACTATTGATAAAAACATTCTATCCTTTTCTCTCTAAATCCTCTTGCATCACTAATCATCTTATTCATTACACAAATTAAGATAGGTGCATTGTGTACTATTAGCCTAATTCAAGAAAACTAGATAGCGAATGAAATTATGTTCCTCTACCTAGTCCATATTTCAATGTACCACAATGTACCGAATTCCAGGTATTATAATTACAGATAATAGCTGGCTACATGTGTATTCCACTATCAACAAGTGTGGAAACCAAAGTTCATAACACATATAAACTTTTGTATATCAAATTTAATGGACAGCCAGCTCATAAAAGCAAGGTGAATAATAACATGTCTGTTACACAAAGTCTATGGTTACATTTTACAAATTGTGCAGAAAAAGGACCAGCATATAAATTAAGAATACCAGCATAAACATATTTTTGTTATCCTTGCTTGCAGAAAGTAAGCATGCTAACACATTGGGTATATCAACTCAATTTTGTGCCATATTTTAACTTCATAGCAAAATTGGACAATAGAACATAAAGCGTAAAATAGGGCAGAAAAATGACAAACCAGGTCAAGAACTTCAATGAGAGATTTAATTCTATTTTCATCCATTGAATGGATATTATCTTCAACCCATTTTCCTAAGACCAAATCCAGTTCCAAGAACCCACGTTGCTTGCTTCGATACAGCAACCTACACCATCAAATTTTACATAATGTACAGCTTTATCAACAATTATATTTTCCCAATTTTGTGCAAAGCAAATGATGCGTCAAAGATAACTAAATTAACCTGTTCATCGTACGCCTTCTACTCTCCACATCAGAAAGATCAATCTCACTCGAATAAAATCGATATGTCACAGGAACCAACTGTGAATTCCTGAACATTTTATACCAAAACAGATAGAAACCATTTACCAATCGATTATATATCAACAAACTGAAACACGAAAAATCAAAGAAAATTGAGGAAATAATTACACAATTCTGCAAGGTGCAACAGTTGGTGAAGCAAATGAATTGCAATTCGTAGAAGCAACTTTCAAATTGATGATCCTATTGAGAGTTGTCGCCGCTCTTCGAAGCATCGCCATCTTATACCAATTCAGCTAGTATTATTAAACAAATTCGACCACGAAAACTTGAAATCACAACAACCTTGCAGTTCAAATTGAAAGCAAAATTCCAATTACTCCTCCCATCACATTTGCAAAGCAATCAATTGCAAAAACATAAACACAGATTAAAACTTAGGGTTTAAACTTGGGTAGAATTGGAATCATGAATCAACCCATAAATACAGATTAATAATGAAAAATAACATAAAGTTAAAATGTCTAATTAATCTAATAATCATATACAGTATTAAGAATCTCATACAATCAAAATTGAATTTCTCAGCTCTAATTATGCAATATAGCTACAATAAAATTCATTGAAATCTACGTGATTTCTCTAAGTGCAATATTATTATTGAAAATTACAAAATCAAAGTGAAATTTCTCAAAAAATATATAGAAAATGAAGTAATAAAGTGCATGAATTCTGCAAATTACCAGCAAATATTAGAAAAATAGAATGCAAAATGAGAGAAAAAAATGAGAAAACTGACCTCAATCAAAAAGCTAAAGAATACTTGCGACCGTTTAGAACTCGGTGCAGAAAATGATTTATTTAAATTGGTTTGAAGAAGAAGAGGGGGATAACGACGAACACGTCTCTCTTCTAATAACCAGACAACTGAAAATAAAATTACTACTCGTATATGATTAGGGCGGTAAACACGCGCATCATAGCTAATAAGCTGGTTATCGTATGTCAAGAGGTTTTTTACGGTATCGTGTAGGGATGGCAGTGGGGGATGGGGCGGGTTTCCCATTTAACCCGACCCACTGCCATCCCTACTCGATACCGAAAAAAACCTCTTCACATACGGTAACTATCATCCGCATCTGACCCGCTCCATTGTCATCTCTAGTATCGTGTCTTTAACCTTACTTGTTAATATTAATGAAGCAAAATATAATCTAATGTTATATCATATCATATCATATCCCTAATAAATAAAGCCGGATCTCGTAGTTAGATCACGAGACAACGACACGCCGACATTTGGCAATTCAGTTTTCGTCAAGCATCGCTCTACGTAGACGACAAATAAGTATTGTGATACATATGATGCTAAGTAAGCAAATTTTGGATAGATTTTGTAAAATAAAAAAAATATATTAAATATTATTATGGATATTGATTAGGGGATTTTTCCCCACCAATCACCATCTGACAAGTGGACCAATCAGGTTCCGCCATGTGTCCGTCACATGGGCCAATAGGAGCCTGCCACGTGTCAAGCAATGATCCGTCCACTATGTACCAATTACGACACGACACGTGTCCTTCCCATGACACCTGGGATAACCGGTCACCTAGGCCCAACTTCCGTGGGAAGCCCAATCAGCCCAAGGTTAACCTAAACCTAGATTGGCACGTTTCCCGAGGTTATAAATACCTCCCTTAATCCTCATTAAGGGAGAGGACGCAGATTACACACATTAAACTCTCTCACCTAGAGAGACCCAATCACTTTAATTTCCGCATTAATTACTCCTTAATCAAGTACTAACTTGACCGTCGGAGGCGGATCTCCAATCATCCGGAGCATCCGTTTGTTTTGCAGGTACAGGCGTCCGGTTCCAGTCTCGGAATTTTAACTCTCCCGCAGGACATCAGAAAACCCCGAAACATCTTGGCGCCGTCTGTGGGGAGAGTACTTCTGAGATGGCATCCACGTTTGTACCGGCTCCTGAAGAGAGACGTCCCCTGGACGACCCTCTAGTTCAGTCGGACCACGATACTGAGAATGAATTTGAAGTTGAAGCTCACACAGCTTCAGACGGGACCCTAAGGGCCCGACGTACCCGTCATACCGAAAGGAGGGAACGGGAACATCTTCAAACTGGAAGCGAGCCAGCAGGCGCACCGCCTGTTCGGCAGCAGCCGACTGATGGGTCTGCTCCCATCACAAGGAACGAACTCATGACCTTCATGAGGGACTTCAAGGGAGAAATTCAAGAGTTGATCAACAAGAAGCCGCCTGCTCTGGACAAGGAGCAGTCGGCTAAGAAACCCTCCACTTCACGGAAGAGGAAGCCAGTTCAAGGGCGAGAGGCGACCCCTCATCCTAAATCTAGGAAGTGGGAGCCACCTGCCCTTGATTTCACAAAATACCGTTTTCCTACTCCAGGAAATAGGAAACCTGTTCGTCATATTCAGGCGGACGGGTCGAAGAAAACATACACAGATGCTCGGCTACTGCTAGAGCAGAAGAAGAGTGACCGATTGTCAGAGTCGGCCTCTACTTCAAACTTCCAAGACAGTCTGCGAAATACCTCGATGAGGCATACTCAGTCGTATCATGAGAGTCAGTCAGGCGGCACCTCCCGTCAGTCCGGCTTTCATAGCGACCAGGCGGTACCAAACTTACCGTTTGTACCGCAACAACAGTATTTTTTACAGCCACCTCCGTTTGGTGGACATGCAGCAAAAAATGTCCAACCTATGGACTGGCAGCTACGGTTGCTTAGACTTGGTGAACAGTCGTCGGCCTTCTCCAAGGAAATTACTGAAGCCGCTCAGCCGGTCAAAGTGAAAAATGTATTAGTAGGCGCCTATGACGGCACTACTAACCCAGAAGACCATCTGATGGCATTCACCAACCTGATGTACCTTCAAGGGTTGGATGATCCCACTTGGTGCAAATGTTTCCCAGCGACTCTCAAAGGAATCGCACAACAATGGTTCGGCAACCTGCCGACTGGTTGTGTAAATAACTTCAAGACGCTTGCTTACTTATTCACCTCCAACTTCGCCATGAACATCCCTGCGAAGAAGACGACCCTTGATTTAGGAAAAATTCAGCAGGGCGAGAAGGAGGGGCTTCGTTCTTACATCAGGCGGTTTAACCTGATGAGAATACAGATTCAAGGGTTACCGGATGAAGTAGCCTATACTGACTTTTTTAGAGGTCTCAAAGACGGGTCGACCTTCAAATTTGATTTGGTCCGAAAGAGGGTGGCGACTCTTCAAGAGGCCTTGATTGAAGCGGAAGCTTATATACAGGCGACTGATCTTTGTAGTACGGTAAAACAGTCAGACGGGAGAAGGTCCGACAAAAGAGAAGGACGACAGAAACAGTCGTCAAACAAAGACGAGAAGAGAAAAGAGGTCTGGGCGGCTGATTCCTCTAAACAGCCGGCCCAGAAAAAGAAAAAAGAATTCAAACCATACTCCCCAAAGTATGCGTTTAACAAGGATAGCCAATTTATCCTAAAGGAAATCAAGGGACGGATCTCAATTGAGAAGCCGGTCCCCATGAAGGGTTCTGCAAACAACCGGAACCAAGAAAAATTCTGTGATTATCATGAAGATGTTGGTCATCACACCAATGAATGCATCAGTCTCATGCGGTATCTGGACCGCCTGGCTGAGCAAGGTGATCTTGACACTTATGTCAAGAAATCTACGGGGAACACTTCCTCGAAAAAGCAGTCGGCCAAAAAGAATCAACAGGCCGACAGTTCCGATACAGATGATGCAGTCGTCTACACCATTGCAGGCGGCTTCTCAGGAGGTGGCCCCACTATTAGGGGCAACAAAGACAATATCAGACGGTTAGATGTAAATTCCGTTCACCAAGAACGGCCCTCCAAATATTCATTTCCTGAGATTGTCATCACTGAAGAAGATCTAGGAGGGGTAAGAGGGCCGCATGACGACCCTATCGTTATTGAATGTAAAGTGGCCAACCAGAGAGTTGGCCGAATCCTCATAGATACCGGAAGCTCCTCAGATCTCATCAGTAGCAAATGTCTGTCGAAACTAAAATATCAGACTGATTGCATACATCCGGCATCCCACCCTTTAGTAGGGTTTGGAGGAGGAGTCGTCCACCCAGTGGGACGAGTGGATTTACCCATCCGCCTGGGCGAAAAAGGGGAAGGACGACACATGGTAGTCCGGTTCTTGGTAGTAGAAGAACTCTCGGCCTACAACATGATTCTGGGACGACCAACCCTGAATAATTCCAAGGCTGTTATAATCCCATCTCTTATGTTGCTCAAGTTTGAGAGGGATAATGGAACAGTCGGGTCCCTAAGGGGAGATCAGAGGATGGCCCGTGAGTGCTATCTCTCGGATGTCAAGCCCACTGTTATGGCCACTGGGTCGAGCAGTGGAAAAATAGACCTTGACAATGTCAAGGAGAGTGCGCCTGTTCAAGAAGCAGGCGGCAAGAAGAGAAAGGCATCCCAGACAGGGGCCGCAAGAAAAGACAGAAAATAGCAATCATTGGCAGAGGAGCGGTCGGATGAATTCCGCCCTCAGCCAGCTGGTGAGCATACGAACCTGATCTTAGATGACTCGCGTCCTGACAGAACAATCAAGGTTGGGACGACTGCTCTAAGGGACCTGGGTGACGACTTTCACAAACTATTGAAAGAATACAAGGACATCTTTGCATTCGAAGTCCATGAAATGCCAAGCATTAGTCCTGATCTGGCGGTACATAAACTGGCCGTGGATCCGAAAAAGAAGCCGGTACGGCAGAAGAAGCGGAACCATGGCGAAGAAAGAAGTCAGGCGGCAGTCGCCGAAGTTAAAAAATTACTTGATGCTGGGTTCATTCGGCAATGTTACTTCCCAGACTGGGTTGAAAATGTGGTGCTTGTTTAAAAGCCGAATGGCACCTGGCGAATGTGTGTAGACTACACAGACTTAAACAAGGCGTGCCCCAAAGAAAGTTACCCTCTGCCTAAAATTGATAACCTGGTCGACTCAACAGCCGGCCATGCTTTGATGAGCTTTATGGACGCCTACTCTGGTTTCCATCAAATTCCTTTATGGGAGAAAGATCAGGAGAAGACGACCTTCGTCACTGATCAGGGGTTATACTGTTACACGGTCATGCCGTTTGGTCTTAAGAATGCCCCGGCCACTTTCCAGCGAATGATAAACACTGTGTTCTTTGATCAGATTGGGAGAAATGTCGAGGCATATATTGATGATATGATTGTCAAGTCTAAACTTCAGAAAGATCATCTGTCGGACCTCCGAGAAACTTTCGCCACACTCAGGCGGCACCATGTCATGCTCAATCCCAAGAAATGTGTCTTTGGAGTTGAGTCTGGGAAATTTCTCGGATTCCTTATCAATCAGAGAGGAATAGAGGCGAACCCTGAGAAGGTGCAGGCGATCATCGACATGCAGTCGCCTCGTACCATCCGAGAGGTTTAGAAGTTAACAGGTTGTCTGGCGGCCTTGGGAAGATTTCTAAGCCGATCAGGCGACAAATGCCTATACTTTTTCCAGGCAATTAAGAAAAAGGCAAGGTTTGAATGGGGGCCGGATGCTGAGGCGGCCTTCCAGAAATTGAAAGTTCACTTGCATTCCTTGCCGAGGCTGGTCAGCCCTTTGCCCAAAGAAGTACTCTACATGTACCTGGCCGTCTCTGATCATGCGTTAAGCGCTGTTCTCCTTGCTGAAAGAGACGGCTGTCAGCTCCCGGTCTACTTTGTCAGTCACGTACTGAAAAATGCCGAGTTGAGGTATCCCTTAGTGGAGAAATTTGGTCTTGCACTCTTCATGGCTGTTAAAAAATTGAAGCCCTACTTTTTGGCACATGCAGTCGTCGTGTATACAGACCAACCTATCAAGCGGCCACTGACCATCATGGAGTCGTCAGGCCGAATGATCAAATGGGCCATAGAAATACAGAGCC